CTATTTTACTATTTTTACAGGAGAGAAAGTTTGGATGGTCAGATGGATGGATAGATGTTTGTTACAATTATTAGCCTAAACGGCTGAACGTATCTCGATTAAATTTGGCTCATATGTAGTGGATAGTCTGAAGAACAGATAGGCTACTTCATTTGCTTATTTTTAATTCAACGCAGAAGAGGTCGCGGGCGAAAGCTAGCGTTTGTATAAATATGTATAAGAATGTAATTTTGTTGTTCACAACAAATTTGAAACTACACAAAACTTTTTTACTTAAATCATAACTTAATTAAGTAATTCGTAACCTGTAAGATATACAGAATAACATTTGTTTGTTTTTAAACCAAGAGATATTGATGTTTTTAAAATTGAATTATGACGCATATGACTTCGTAGTTCGAAAACTTTACGCCTTTTTGATTCCCCTCTCCCTTGCGATTTCATAGGTACATGTCTAGCCGAGCTATAAACCTAATTAACTAGACCGACTAATGCATTGAGTGCTTACGTCGGCTCAGTAATAGCGCTGACATTCTACGCCCTTCTGTAACCTTCTATATTTATGCATAAATATGCAGGAATACAAGTATGTATTGTAAATAAGTTTAAGTCAAATAAAATTGTAATAAAATCCTGTCCACAAATCTAAAACTTTGGACTGTAAATACTTGTAAATAAATCATACTATCTATATACTTCATACTAATATTATAAATGCGATAGTTTAGAGGGATGGATGGATGTTTGTTAGAGTTTGTAGCCTAAACGGCTGAACGGATTTCGATGAAATTTGGTATGGATGTAGAGGATAGTCTGGAAGAACACCTAGGCTACTTAGTTTTGTTTTTTTTTATTCCAAGCGGACGGAGTCGCGGGCAACAGCTAGTTAATGAATAAAGAACTACCACATCGATGTCCACAGAGTTATGGCCACTATCGAGGTTTCAAAGTACGAGAGGGTCGTACAAGTAAAAAAAATGAATTTACCAAATTTAATTAGAAAATTACTTAGCCACAAATAATGAAAATATAACTTAACTTTACCGGATTAAATTCTTAACCATGTAAACGTTTACTAGATGTTAAAAAAAATTCTTTCTAAGTTCTGTCAGATTTACTTCAAATCTCTCCCCACAAGTACCCTTACCCTCGCTAAGAAGATTAAAATGTTTTTTCCGGCCTCAATTTTACACATGTAAGAATTTTTAAGACCTTACTAAGCTTTGTGGAGTGTACTTTTAAAGCTTTTCGTAACGAAAAGCGGTTTATCAAAATAAACTTTACTTCATAATGAAAAATCTTGGCCTGAATAAATTTACTAAACGACGAATTCTTCCTCCTATCCCCTTTCCATCTTTTTATCAGCATAATTGAAGATATTTACTTGTATTTTTTTAATGGATAAATAATTTCAACTTTGTTAGCTTGTTACTATATTATAGACAGTTCAACTATTCAGTTAGTTTTGCCGACACACGCACGTTTTAAACTGATCAGTGACTTAATTAAATCTGTCAGAACTCTGCGTCTGTAGCGGGCTTTATACAATGGAACATATTTATTCAAGTTAAACTTTTCTACCAGTTGATTAAAGAGTTTTAAAGTTTAAGACAGTGCAAGTTAAAGCTCTTGTCAGTTATCGATTAGCGCCTTGCTCGTGCCGTGTCAAAAAGTTCATCGTGTCATCATGTCACGGCCAACTTCACTTTCATTATTCACGGTCTGCAGTCGACTGCACCTATTTACTTACTGAACATGTTACCTGTATTGCTTGTGAACCTTGAAAAATGCGAAAAGACTAGGTAGTTTTTTTGGAAATACGTGGTGGTTGTAAAATAAACACAAGATTCATTTATGAAATATTTTTTTTATTATTATCAGTTCAAATATCGTATTTACATTTATTTTAAATGAATAAAAAAGCACATCGTTTATCGTATTGTGTGATTATAAAAAAATAATAACTAAAATCAGCGGCAGAACAATTTCGTGATACAAAAAACATATAATCAGGTTAATAGAACATAAGATAGTACAATAAAATACAAAAAACAATCTCACATACGCCTCCGTGTAATAGCAACACTGACAGCTGTCAACTGTCACATTTGACATTTGTGTTGACATTGACAGTCGCACAGTTCGACAATCGCTGTTCAAGCACACCGGAGATACAAATATCAACTTGTACAACTGAAGGCGATAAAAGAAATCAATAATTCATACCTATTTACATATATCCCTCACAACGAATTTCCATACAGTTTCTTGCTATACAAAAAAATGCAAGTTGTCAAAGATATAAATACATAGACAGCACGATCTTGTTTGAAATTTTGCAGGAAGAAAACATGCACTGAAATTGTACAGTAGCGTACAATTTCTAGGTTATTATTTTCATTACAGTTTGGAAATATCTATATATTTATATCTTAACATTCGTTTACTACAATGTACTACATAAATGCTCCACATAAGTAAATACCTAGCAATGTACAAGTTTAACTCAGTGCCTCACTCAACGGGTGAATTAACTTCTTTCTCTCCATTTTATACTTATCATAATCAACAAATCATACACCTAAAGTATTGCGATTCGGAATTAACCTGAGTTTCCATTAGCGAGACATCTATACAAAAACATCGTTATCTCATGTCTTAAGGAGAGAATGCGAGAGACAACAAATTGAAATATCTCGCCAATGGAAACACACGGTTATAATTTTTTACATACTAATTTGGTGTTTGGAACCGAATTACAATTTAACTACATTATTGGAGTGAGAGGCTTGAATAACATATAAAAATGCACCGTTTTCAAATAAACAAGAAGAATTTAATAAAATTTTGCTATTGCATTTTAAGAACTACCAAGAACAATAAATTTATCCTATGCCGAAACTAATCAAATTAATTTGTTGCATTAAAAAATGAAATTATATTATTTTCGCATTGTTGCGGTTTAATACCCTCTGCGCCTAAGCCCCCCAACTCCATGTAAATGTCTCTAAAGCTCTGTATACGCTACTACGCTAGGAGAACTACATTTTCTAGATCGTTTCCAGGCACACTGTCAACTCGATACATTCCTAACGATAAGTTCTTTCAATGGCAGTGTCGAATTATTTCATGAATAAAAAACACTATTAAAACCTGTAACAATCTGTTCTTTCAATCTCTCAAGTTGTTATTTCATTGACAAAATTGGCGCTTTTACCAAATTCTGATTAGACTAGATAAAAAAGCAAACTAAACTAAATTTGCCTATTGTTATATTTAACTTCATATTAAAATAAAATTACTAATACATTTATGTGATTAAAAAATATAATTGATATAGTCACTAAATTGTTTATTAATTTTTCTATTATTCAGAAAAAAATTTCATTGGCACAAATTGGTGTTGTCATGTTTATTAGTTATTTCTTATTTTATAAATAAAGGGGTATTTACTATTACAAGAGATAATTCTCAAGTTGGCAATGCGCTGGTCTAATGCATAAACTTACGTGAGGGACCACTAAAATTTTCACTAAACTGGTAAATTTACTAGTCTTTACTAGACGGAACCTAACTTCTCCCTACACTACCCTTTTTCCATACAAATAAAGTCAGATAGAAAACTTTAGACATCACTGCATAAATGATAAACTTAATTATATTATTGCTCAGAGTCGTTAATTGGGCAGTTTAGAGCCCTTTAGTGTAGATTCACTATCGGCCGAATATTAAAACGAATTTTAAATGTTCAATGAATTTGGAGTTCAAGTTTGTTCAGACAATTGAAAATGCGTTTCACTATTAAGCCTTGTGAAAATTCTCCACCAAGTACTGCGTAAATCTGCTTCTAATTGTCAAACGTCATCTATCTGACACTATTTATACAAACGGTATTAATTTTAGTAAAGTTTACTTAAAATTCATCGAATTCCCTAATCAAGTATAATACAGTAGGACGGTCCCACACATCGATTTGAGATCTCACGGTAATTTTGACACGACGTAATCAATTCTCATCCTATCACTGGCGATCGCACTCGCTTTACAAAACAAAACTGCAATATTGGTGAGTTGCAAGCTGTGCATAAAAGAAACATTCAGAAAATATGCCGTAATTTTGAGCACCGTGGAAGGAATGTGTGCATAAGATTTATATTTGAAAACTCCGCTCATATTAGCCACGAGAAATAGCCGACATAAGGAACGAAACACGCGGTGACGTCACAGATACCTTCACAGACTTTAAACCCTTAATATAAATAAAAATATTAATTTTTACCAAATTATGAGCATATATCCAGCATAAAAATCTTTTAAAATAACATCGTTCTCTTCAATTAGATATACATGGCACACTGCTCTGTTCATATATATATTTATACATAAAAATCGTACACACCTATCAGTTACCTTGTCACCATAGAATAATTGAATTATATGGATGGATATTACGTTAGAAGCTTAACAAGCGCTAATATAATATTAAAGTCGAAAGCAGTCGACGGATGGACAAACTGAATGACGTTCAACTGAAGACCGAGGGCATTCGATGCCCGTACATTTACACTACGCGATGGTACTATCACGAAATTTGGTCCACCGAAACGTACCAAACGGTTTTCGACTGTCCCCATTAAAACTATAGGAATTAAAACGTACTAACTAATAAGGTCCGCCGAGCGTCGCACTCGCCCTAGTACACACGCACTCGACTCCGTACACGTGCACTCGATTTGTACACATGTACTCGGCTCCGTACACACGCACTCGATTGAGTACACATGCACTCAGCTCCGTACGCGTGCACTTGGCTCCATACTCAAACCGTTGCATATACTCGGCATCGTACACATACACTCGAGTCGGTACACTTGCACTAGTGTCAGTACACATGTACTAGTGTCGGTACACGTGTACTGCGGGCGCGCCGCGAGTGCTGGGCGCCGTGTACGTACAAAGGAACAAGAGTAACAGATTCAACTAAAGGGCGTGGTGGGGGCTCACTTGATGGCCACGTGCCGCGTCTCCGGGTGCAGGCACACGCCCTCCACTGTGAAGATAGACACCTCTGCAACAAAACATTCATTATTCCACAACGGAAATAGATAACATTACAAGGGAATTCAATTGTCATCAAGTGAGTTAATGATTCAATGCCTAATTTCCTTTTCATCGATCTGACAAGGGTTTTGTTTGTTTTTACGTTATG